CGGGGAGGAGGGCCTGGCCGGCGTGGCTCAGTGGCTGAGCGTCAACCTGTGAACCAGGAGGTCACGGTTCGATGCCCGGTCAGGGCACATGCCGGGGTTGCAGGCTCGATCCCCAGTAGGGGGTGTGTAGGAGGCAGGCGATGATTCTTGCTCATCATTGATGTTTCTATCTCTCTCTCCTCTCCCTTCCTCTCTGAAATCAATAAAAATATATTAAAATAAATAATTTTAAAAAAGTCTCACCCACCCACTTACCAAAACATCCACCCACACACTCCTACCCCCAATACACTGTCAGAAACCCGTGACTATTTGAGGTGCCCAGCAGACAGCCCTTCCCAGCAGACAGACACCCCTGCAGAAACCCCATACCCCCCAGCTATAGCAGGTGGAGCAGGAGTCTGATCCTTGTCTGGGGAATCTGGAATGGGGACAGAGGAGCTGTGGGTACTGGACTGGGAAGTCACATAGAGTCAGAGCAAGACTGACCCAGAGCCAGCCCAGCTGCCTGCAAACAGAGGAAGCCGCAGATGCAGAGGCGAGACCACAGGGTCAGGGCCAGGAGGAAAGAAGAGTCACTGCCCCATGTTCTGACTCTATTCTGTTCTCACGAGGCCCTTGTCTATTTCTTTCCATCATCACCCACAACCAATCCACAGTCAGTTCTGTTTTCAAAATGTATCCAGCCTAGCTGGTTTGGCTCAGTGGATAGAGTGTCGGCCTGTGGACCAAAGGGACCCGGGTTTAATCCCGGTCAAGGCACGTACCTTGGTTGCAGGCTCCACTCTGGCCCAGGCCCTGGTCGGGGCTCGTGCAGGAGGCAACCAGTTGATGTATTTCTCTCACATCGATGTTTCTCTCTGTCTTTCCCACTCTCTAAAAAACAATGAAAAAATATCGAGTGAGGATTAACAACAACAAATGTATCCAGATGACTGTTCACTACTGTCCCTACCTTGTCCAGGCCACCAGCATCTCTCACCTAGATTATGGCAGCAACCTCCTCATGGATCTCCCTGCCAGTACTCCCAGACCTTGTTTCCATCTATACTCCCTACTTTAGTGACCTCATCTGGGCCTTCATACCACAAAAATGCCAACGACTACCCAAATTACATCTCCAGTCCAGATTTCACCTTTGAATGCCAGACTCCTAGATTCCACTGCTTGCTCAGCAAGTCCACTGGGGTGCTTAATATATCCACATCCATAGCCTCTCTTAGTCTTCCTCATATAGTTACTGGCATTCCCTCCTTCTTCTGCTAAGGCTAAAACCCTTGGTTGACGACTCCTCTTTTTCAGCCCACACCTATACCCCAAATGCTGCCTACTCATCCTTCAAATTATATCCAAAATCCGACCACATCTCCCACCTCCACTACTACTACTCAGGCTAAGCCACCACTATCTCTGGCTGGATTAGTGCAGTAGCCTCCTCACTGGAGTCTGCTTCTACCCTTGTGTCCACATGGCAGCCAGAGAAATCCTATTAGTGTCATATTCTTCAGCTCAAAATGCTCTGATTTCTTCCTATCTCACTGAGAATCAAATTCAAGTCAGGATGGTTCATCCCTACTCCACATGTTGTCAGCTGGGAGCTGGGCTAGATGGCATCACTCATGTCTAACACATTAGCTAAAACAATGGAACAGCTAGGGACTGGCTGGGCCTCTCTCCACATTTCTCTCCACCAGCATAGCTGGATTTTTTTATACAGAAACCCAGGATTCCAAGAGAGTGAAAGCACAAGTTGCCAGGCCTCTTAAAGGCCCAGGCCTCCCCAACTGCATCACTTTCACTACATTCTATTAGCAAAACAAGTCACAGTCAGATTGAATTAAAGGAGGAGACTTCATCTTCTGATGGAAAAAAAACAGCAAAGAATGGGTGGCCTTCATTAGCAGCAGCTATTTTAATCTCAGTAACAGCCTCATCACTGGCCTCTACTTCAATCCGTAATCCCCTATTGCCAATTCCACACACAACAGCCTAAGGGATCTGTTAACATATATAACTGATCATGCCTCTTTCCACTATCTAAAATTCTTGCCCTGGTCAGTGTGGCTCAGTTGGTTGGGTATCATCCTATGAACCGAAGGTTGCCATTTGATTCTGGGTCAGGGCACATGCCCCAGTTGCAGGCTTATCCCCGATAGGGGGTGTGCAGGAGGCAGCTGATCGATGTCTCACTCTTACATGGAAGTTTCTCTCTTCACTCTCTCGCCCTTCTTCTCTCTCCAAAAATCAGTTAAAAAATTTTAAAAATAAAATAAAATTCTTTTACACCTTCCCACTACACATGGGGTAAGGACACACACTCCTTACAGGATCTGCATGGTCTGATCTCTTGCTCCCTCTCAGCCTTTAGGTTCCAACCATCTTACACACACACACGCACACCAGATTTAATGGAGTTAATGCCTACTCCTTCAGATCACTTCAAACCTCACTTCTAGGGTCCAGATTAGACCTCCTGTCAAGTGCTCTTATAGCACTTTCTACCTTTCTCTGTAATTTCATATTGTGTGGTTAGTTGATGAGTTGAAGCCCCCACCCAAGACCGTGAGCTCTTTGGGGGCAGGGAAACTATTTTGTTCTCTGCTGTCTTCCCAATGCTGAGCACAAAGCTGAGGCAAGATGAAAACACTTGTTGAATATCTGAGATCTCAGGAAATTTTAAGGCAGCTCCTTAAAGTTCTGTGGAAAGGGAATTGACGGAGTATGTAGGATGCTGGGATCAGTACTGAGCTCTGAAATCATCCACCCATCATATATAAAAGCCATATGCTAAATGTTCAGTCATCCGTTCAACCAATCAAAGCATATGCTAATTATATGCTAAGGATGCTCAACTGCTCGCTATAACGTGCACTGACCACCTCAGATGGTAGGTTAGCTTGCTGCTGTCGTCCGGCCAATCGGGACTGAGCAAGCCAGGCCGGACATGCTCTGGAGCCCTCCTACAGTCCCTACCCCCAGCCGGCCACACCCACAATGGGCCCCCATCAGGGCGGGCCAGCTGGATCCCACCCATGCACGAATTCGTGCACCAGGCCCCTAGTTCATTCAATAAAGCATTATTAAATCCCTACTATATGTCAAGGGCTCTTCTAAGTGTTGGAGATAAAGCATGAAGTAGACAAAAGCTCCTGCCCTCATGAAGTATATGGTCTGGTGGGGATAGGGGAAAGGGGGACAGACAATCCTATATAATAAAAGCCTAATATGCTAAGTGTCCAGTCATCCAGTCAGCCATTCAACCAATCAAGGAGTAATATGCTAATGATATGCTAAGATCATTCAACCACTCACTATGACGTGCACTAACCACCAGGGGGCAGATAGTAGACCAATTGACCCGTCACTATGACATGCACTAACCACTAGGGGGGAGACACTCAACTCAGGAGCTGCCCCCGGTGGTCAGTACGCTCCCACAGGGGGAGTGCTGCTCAGCCAGAAGCCCTGAGCCGGGCTCACGGCTGCGGCAGTGGCAGGAACCTCTCCTGCCTCCATGGCAGTGCTAAGGATGTCCAACTGATGGCTTAGGCCTGCTCCCTGCAGGGCCTAAGCCGTCAGTCGGACATCCCTCAAGGGCTCCCAGACTGCAAGAGGGTGCAGGCCAGGCTGAGGAGACACACCCCCCTCCCAGAGTGCATGAATTTCATGCACCAGGCCTCTAGTAAGAAATTATATGTGTTAAAGAGTGATATGATTAATGCCAAGGAAAGTTAACATACAACATTCTAGAAGGGTCGACAGGAAGATCTCAAGGATAAGGTGACATCTGAGTAAAGGCCTAAAGAAGGTGAAGGTGAGCCTTCACTATCCGGCTAAGTGTCCCAGGTAAAGAGAACAGGTGGTATATTTATACCATGGATTACTATGCAGATGTAAAAAAGAAGCATCTCACACCCTTTGAGACAACATGAAGGGACCTGGATAGTATTATGCTAAGCAAAATAAGCCAGGATCTCACTTATCTGTGAAATCTAATGAACAATTGACTCAACTCCAATTGACTCAAGAACAAATGAAATTGACAAAACAGATTTAGAGACATGGAAGCTTGCAAAAGACTAACGATTCTCAGAGGGAAGGGGGGAGGGTATGATGGGAAAAGATTAATTAAATAATTTATATGTATACTAGAGGCCCGATGCACAAAATTTGTGCAAGAATAGGCCTTCCTTCCCCTGGCTGCTGGCACCGGTTTCCATCTGGCACCCAGGTCCCAGGCTTCTATCACAGCCCCGGCTTCATCCAGAAGCTCGTCCAGAAGGACACCCGGTCTAATTAACACATTATGTTTTTATTATTATAGATAGGCATAACCCATGGACACAGACAATAGTGCAGTGAAGGCCGGGGGAGGAGGGGGTCAATGGGGAGAAATGGTGATACCTGTAATATTCTCAACAATAAAGATAAGGAAACAAATAAAACAGCAAGTACAAAGGCTCTGAGGCAGAGTGAACAAGGAGGGGTGAATAAATGATGTCAGAGCAGTAACATGGACAGGTCATGCAGGGCTTTGCAGGTCATGGAGAAAACTTTGGCATTTACTTTCTGTGAGATGGAGGCAAGGGAGGGTACTGAGCAGGAGAGGAACGTGACCAGGTGTTCAGTGTCACTCTGGCTGCATGTGGGGAGCAGGGAGACCATTGAGAAGGCTGCCATGATGATGTAGACCAGTGGTTCTCAACCTTCTTAATGCCGCGACCCTTTAATACAGTTCCTCATGTTGTAGTGACCCTCAACCATAAAATTATTTTCATTGCTACTTCATAACTGTAATTTTGCTAGTGTTATGAATTGTAATGTAAATATCTGATATGCAGGATGTATTTTCATCGTTACAAATTGAACATAATTAAAGCATAGTGATTAATCACAAAAACAATATGTAATTATATATATGTTCTCTGATGCTCTTAGGCGACCCCTGTGAAAGGGTCGTTCGACCTCTAAAGGGGTCTCGACCCACAGGTTGAGAACCGCTGCTCTACGCAGATGATGAGAGTGGACAGGACTAGGGTGACAGCAATGGAGGTGGGAAGAAATGATCAGGTTCTGAATATACTTTGAAAGAATTTGCTGATGGACCGGACATGGATATAAGACAATGGACTCAAGAACAACTCCAAAGCTTTGGGTCTGAGCAACTACAAGGATGGAGGTGACATTTACTGAGAACAAGCTTGGAAGAACAGATTTTGGGGGAATAAACCAGGAATTCAATTTGGCCAAGATTACTCTCAAGATATCTCTAGAAATCTTGTGACACCATGCAGGCAGTCAGTCAGCAGTCACAGGAGAGGTTTTGAGCTGGAAATAGAAATTTGAGATATGTTTCGATGCTTATCCACCCCAAATTCCTTACAGAATCCACATGATTTGACTCCTGCTGATGACTCGTCTTGCACCTGGCTAAGTCCATGGTTGACATATACACAAATCCTGAGCCCTCTACTTTCCCAGCTATGTGATCTTGGACAAGTTACTTAACTTTTTCTGCCCTCAGCAACCTCATTTGCAAAAGGGAGATCATAGTAGTACTGGCCTCCTAGGACTATTCATTCAAAAAATATTTAACTAAGCATCTAAAATATGCAGCCACTTGCAGGAATATCTCCTACATAGAGATATTCCTTTCCCGCCCTTCTCCACAATTTGTTAACCACACATCCAGCCTGTCAAGACAGTCTTCTGGGTATTTCTCCCACCCACATCTTCCTCCGCTCTCTACCAAGACCCTTTCCCTGGTTCATCCCTGATGATCCTGCCAGACACCATCCTGGGCTCCCAGACCCAAGCCTCTTTCCCGTCAATTTACTGCCAGATGACAGCAAATGGGGCCTTCCCTTCTAGACATCCCCCCATGACTTCTCATTGCCTTCAGGAAATCCCCAAATAGCCACCAAAATCTCCCACGACCTAATTCATACAGGCCTTTCAATAAGATCTCCAAAACCAGATCACCAGGCCGTTTCTCATTGCTGCCTTCGTGCAAGCCATTCCACCGCACCACAAGTACCCCTCCCCGCAACCCTATCATTAGGTCTCAGCTCAGGCAGCGTCTCCACCTCCAGGAGAGCTTCCCTACCCGTGCTCCGTCTGGGTTCCCTCGCGTTCAATGTTGCCACCATTAGCGAACACAAGCAGGTAAGTAACGGAGCCCGTGCACACTCCTCCTGACGGGGTCTTTCCCGCGAGCTGGGTGATGTCCCACGTGACGCGGCCGCTTCAGGCCTCTGCGCCCACCTCCTGCTCTAACTACGAACGTCTTACCTTCACGCTCTCCACGAAAAGCCTTCAGGCACCTGCCGCACGCCTCAACAGAAATCAACACCTGCGCACAGCACGGCCAAAAGCACCCAATCACGGCCCTTTCCTTCCTCCTTCAGAGCTAGCGACCAGCATCCGGCTGCTTGTCTGACTGCTGATTGGCCGCCTGACATCCCGCCCCTAAACACGTGAGCGAAAAGAACTCTGGTCTTTGTAGTTCCCCGACGAAAAGTGGGAAGATTGCTAAGTGGAGCTCCATTTCCCAGGAGGCGCCCGCATCCCTGAGGTCGAAGACGGATACCCTTTGCAGCAGAAGGTTCTTGATTGGCCATTTGGGAGACGAAAGTTTCCCAAATGCCAAGGAAACAGGCCCACTTACCTGGAACCCCCGGATATTTTTTGGCCTGAAAATCTCAAAACGCCTTGCTGTGTCCGCAATTGTTCCAAAGGGTAAGACCAGAGTCGGG